ACTACTTTTTGAGGTGGAGAAACTTTGCCAAACAAGCTACTATAATATACCCAAGAATCCCGATCCAACTCAAACTCCTGTGTGTCAAAAAAAGAAAAAGTAAAACAAATAAATAAAAGGAACAGCTGTGCACAGTCAGCAGTCAATCAGTAGACTGAATCTACAGTTCTATAGTCTATAGATAGAGTGAAAGGACTCTTAACCAGAAGTGCGCCTCCATTATGACTATTAGCCTTTGTTAATCTTTTGATTTTTCAGTCAGGTTCCCCATTACTCTTACTTCATTCTTTAACTTGTTCTTTTTCTTTAATTTTCTTACACACACACACACACTCCCTCTGTTTTTCTGTTTTTCTGTTTTTTTGACTGCTTTGGAATCTCAGATCTTTATATTCTGCAATGTGATTCACTCCTTTTTGCGAAATTTAATTTCAGATCATTTAAATTCTAACTAAAGTCTCCATCTTTTCCCTTAAATTGCAGGTTTTATTTATTGAATAAGCCATAGCTATGGAGTTAGGGGACAACAAGATTCTGAACGCGGGGTTGCTGCTAGTAGCGACCCTAGTGGTAGCCAAACTCATATCAGCATTAATTATGCCCAGATCTAAGAAGCGGCTGCCTCCAGTGATCAAATCCTGGCCAATTCTCGGTGGGTTGCTTCGATTCCTCAAAGGCCCAGTGGTTATGCTGCGGGAGGAGTACCCTAAGCTTGGTAGTGTGTTCACTCTGAATCTACTGAACAAGAATATCACGTTCTTCGTTGGCCCAGAAGTGTCGGCCCATTTCTTTAAGGCCCCAGAAACCGATCTCAGTCAACAAGAGGTTTATCAGTTCAATGTGCCTACTTTTGGCCCTGGTGTGGTTTTTGACGTTGATTATACTATCAGACAAGAGCAATTTAGGTTCTTTACTGAATCTTTGAGGGTAAATAAATTGAAGGGATATGTGGATCAGATGGTCATGGAAGCTGAGGTACTGAAAGAATTTCTGTAAATTGGTCACATTTATTGTATATAATAATGTTTGCTTCAGTTTTAAGTTACTAAGCATGGTACTTTGCTATACCACTAATTGGACTTTGCGTGCCTATTTTATCTGAAAATAGTGAACAGAATTTGAAAAGGGTCAATATCTATGTGCTCTAATTGTGCTTCTGAAGATGAGTTGACCTGTGTCGCTGTGATTCAACAAGAAAAATTTATATTGGTTGCCTTATTTAGGATAATGTCCTTAGATCTCTGAAATTCTCTTATGATCTTGGATCTTTATTTCTTTCCCACCCTTTTAACTTCTATTGTTTTTCTCCTGATTGATTTTAGTTTGGCTTATCACTGGTTTTACAAGAATCCCCTACTAGATCCTTGGCCTAGTAATGTTGTATTTGTTTCTGTAACTAAGATCGTGATCAAGTTTCCTACTTTTTCAGTAGACCATACTGCAAGATCTTAAGGCTCAGTATTATCATGCAATTAGTATTATCTTTTCATTTGCGTTTTTTCCCTTAAGTTGGGGAGAGGTGTAGATATTTGTTTAAATGAACTAGCATTTGCACCACTTTTAAGTGTGTATTAGCCCTTTTGGAATTTT